TTAGATTTTTGTCTTTGTCTTACATACCATAAATAAAAATCTAATTCTGGTTTGTCTTTTCTTATAATGAATTATATTGAGATTACTGCATAGCAACTTGGATGTGTATGTAGTGTAGTGGTTATCAATAAGGAAATTGGGGATGGTGTGTCAAGTTCAAACACCAACTGAAACTGTTGGAAAGGTTTGAGCAGGGCTGGTGCAAGTGTCTCGTAGGCTCCTCCCAGATCTATGATATAAGCCCCCACCCCAATCTATGATATGGGACCTCTCACTCTATTATATTTCAATTTTTATGAGGTAATATTCATATAAAATATACATTTTATTGTAACCTAATTATGTACATTAATAGGCCTTATGCAATATAGAGAAGTAATCCATCTAGAAAACTTGAAAATAAACCCAGTATATCTAAAATACAAATTAGAAAACATAATAGATCATGCCATCTTAAAAAAATCAACAATTTTTTGCAGAAATTTTTAACATCAACCTCAGATATTTTTGTTAAAAAGTTGAAGAATTTCAACACATTCAAAATTATGGATAAAAAATAGGGAATTTTACATAGTGTTTCTTCAAAACTTAGCATAAACAAATGAAACAAATTAATGGATTTGGATGAGAATAAAAGACCCCAGAATGACATCAAAACCTGCAAAAAATTTTCAGTTTAATAGTTGGTTGTGCTTTGTTTAATTTTTAATGTATATAAATGTAGGTAGAAAAAAACAAATGTTGATAAGATACCAAGTGTCACAAAACACTATTTGGGACTCCCAGTTAGGTTTGGACAGCTAGTCAGGGGTGGGGGTAGTAAATACTGGCCCTAGGTTTGAACCTGTATATGGGCTAACATCAAGAAAGACTGAGCTCCATTTAGTCAGATGGAGGATGATCTATGCATTAAACACCCAGATTCTTCAAGACAACTGTCATCTTGACAGCCTTGTGAGAAGATGCCACTGTCTTGCAAAAACAGAACACCTAGTTCTATTTTGTATTGAATGAACAATACTATAAGTAAAAATGGACAGCTTCATTCCAAAAGTCACTTCTTTGTGAAACAAACTCCTGAGAGGATGCTTCCCTAACAACTACAACCTCAACCACTTTAACTCTACAGTCAACCATTATCTATCCTGAATATACTCATAATTTACAATTCTTACATCCATAAAACAACCCCATTCAATAACTATTTACCTTGAGTGGATCTTGGGATTTGTATTAGGTTATCAATAGTAGAAGGAAGTCCAAAGAGCCACTCAAGGTAAATTAGTTATTGAATGGGGTTGTTTTATGGATGCTAGAATTATAGATTATAATGAAATGTAGGATAGATAACAGTTGACTGTAGACTTGAGAAGGTTAAGACTGTAGTTGTCAAGGACACATACTCCCAAGACGAATGCTGTTTGAATGGAACTTCTTTCTTACCATTCTCAGTAAAGAGGGCTTAGAGAATTTGAAACTCCTAAGACATAATGGAGGCAAGAGAGAAACAGTAATTAACCAACTTAACAGATTTAGGAGTAGGAAGGACAATGAAAAAGCAAACATTGCTGAGAGGTACAAAGGATAGGAAGTTGTGGAGACTCTACACACAAGCCACCAATCTGCCACTAGATAGCATGCTACTAGCGTTTACTGCTGGTGGCCCACAGTCGGACTGGCTTTGTGTTTGTCTCGGCAATGTTGCCACTGGCAGACCGCTAGAGGCCCACTGGTGGCCTGCTGGTGGCTGCCACCAGAGAACCACTGTGGTTTGCATGTAGGAGAGCTATGATTGTCCACCTCCTGAATGGGCAAAGCACATAAAAGAAGAAGTATATTTTGCCTTATCATTTTTACTGAAAAGTTTTCAGCTTTTTCTTTATTTGAAAACTGCTGTAGAACTGTCAGAACTTTCAAACAAATTTTGTGCACAGCCATTTTGAAAATTTAGTCAGCATTTTCCAAGAAACGACAGACAAATTACCTTAAAATACAAAGAAAAAAAGATTCACACAAATTAATCATTTACTAATGTCCATTTTTTTTTTTTAGTTCAAACTGTGTTAAAATAATTTGGTAGAAGAATGTTTTTTTTTTCCAATTTTGCAAAAATGTCTACCTTCTTTATATGTGGCAAAAATTGTAAATTTTCAAAAATAGCTGTGCATTTTTCAGTCCTTCTGGGTATCATAGGAAATCATTGAATTTGTTTCTGCTGGTGAAAGGCAACATCATTGAATAATTGTTGAACTGCCATAAGCGATTACTTTGTTGCTCTCTTCTTCTGTTTCATTGACTTTATTTTGCTGTATTGTCCTTTTTTACCTCTTCTAGAATTTACATTTTTCTTCATAAATGTTTAAAATTATTCTGTGATTCTTTCTTTTGCTTTATACCATGAATTTTCATGATATTATTTTGTGGTTCTACAGAAGGATGCTGAGAATACCATGGTCTGAAGCAACAGAAACATGGTTCTACAGAATTATTCTATCAATTATGTGATCAATGACAAAAATTTAGAGAAAATGGAAACTAAAAAGACACTTATACTTAGAATCAGAAAGTGACAACTGAAATTTCTAGGGTACATAATGAGGACAGAGGACTGGAGAATGTGATACTCACTGGACATATTGAAGGAAAGAGGGATAAAAAACAGCATACAACCTACCTAGTAAGCTTGTTCAAATCAATGACAGGACAGAGTTTAGGAGAGATTACAAAAAGACAAAATTTACTAAGAGCTACAAAGGACAGGAAATTATGGAGAGCCATGATCGCCAATGTACTGAAAGGACATGGCACAAAGAAGAAGAATAAGAAAATGTATTATTGTCAGATGAGATAAAATTAAAATTTTGGGGGTATAATAACAAGAAATTTGCTTGAGATATCAAGACAGGGTTTGAGTCTAAAGAATATCATTCTATGACAAAAAGATTTTTTAATAAATAATTAAGTTTTTTGTTTACATATTAGTTTATATATGTTTGTGAGTGAATGAGAGAGTTGACTATTTCAGGGCAGTTTCTTGCTGCCTGAATTGGTAAGGGGCAAAAATGCTTGCTTAGAGGCAAAAATTGACATTGAAAGGTTTTGGAAACTCTTTTTATAAGTAATCCCTTGACTTCACGCTAACTGATAATTCATTAATTCCCAGCTGAATGAAAAGTACTCAACCCTGCCACATTGTTCCCCTCTTTTTTCTTCTTTGTGATGGCTGATGCCAATCCCTGAATCAAGACTTACAACATGACAGTTTACAGCAGAAGCAATACTTGCTGCATTAATCAGCAGGCAGGTTAGGTTTAAGGCTCCAAGTTCACTATGGAAAATTGTCTTATGGAACAATGGCCTAGTGGATTAAAGTCTTGGTTTGTGAATTTGGTGATACAATGGTTGAAAATTAAATCCCTGGGTTGGACAGTTTGTACTTGGACTTGGAAACAGGTGAGCTATAACTGAGCAGTAATATAAATAAAAACTAGACAATATCCCTAGATATGGGCAGTGAAGTGAGAACAGTCTAACTGCATAGATTAAATAAAGTGTTTATTTAAGAAATTTCTTGTAGGTTACCCACTTGAGGAAGGCCAGAGGACACAACAGCTGAAACATTGTGATAGCAACAACAAAGATGAGGACAATAGTCCACATATAAATAGTTCAAATAATGATAACTCCTCATTACAGAATTTCGGATAGTGAAAATACAATATTTATTCTCCTTCTTTTTAATTTTCATATTTCTTTTTTCCATTTTTGGAAAAGTTTTTTTGCAAAATTAATCTCTGTCGCTTTTTTTTTTAGTAGCCATTTTTATTGTATTTGACACTTCACTAGATTTTGAAATTTAATGTAAGCAGCAGACAGACTGTAGAAGAAAGTGATGCCCCATTCACAACAGATAATCTTTTAATGCTTTGTACTGTCAAATATGCCAAGATGGACAATTTAAGACGGTAAAAGATAAACATTAATTGTTTGCTGATCAATGATAAATGACAGAAAGATTAAAGATTTATATTTTGATAAAAAAGGAATAATAATGGATAGAATTTGTTTCAAACTGAAAAGTTTTCGTTTACCTACAAATAATTGTCACAATATTTTATGCGATTGGTTATATGGCTGCAAGTCCAAGGTTCTACTACTAACTTCTTAATATGACTGGCAAATTTTATAGGTGCTTAAAAGGGTATTTGGTACTCACTAATTTTGTTTAGTAATGGACTGAATCAGTAGCTTTGTTATATTAAATGACACATAGAAGAATTGAAAACTGATGGTTGTTTAATTCTAGATTTTATTTCACTGTCTTTAAAATGATTAAACAAATTTTAGGCATTATAGTCAGATATAGTTAATTTCCTTTGACCCATTGAGCTATGGTTTTGAAATAAAATACTAAATCAAAATGGACATATCTGATTAAAACATCCATTACATTCACTAATGGTTCCTATAGTCTTCTGCTATAAAATGGCAACTTACTGTGAGAAAAAATCTGTCATCAGTCATGTAAAAAGATACAGTATTGTCTAAGTGTCTATCATGCCTACCGACTGATATTCGAAAAAAGTATGAATCTGCCTCCCCAGCTATGTCAGTCATGTAAATCAACTGGTCTAAAAGAAAGAAATGGCAACCTCACTTAATCACGTATCACACATGGCACATAACTGAACTGACAGTGTCAAGTTTGAATTCTAGTCAAATCCATTACATTCGCTTACGTGCTAAGGTGGGAAAAGGTATGAATCCTCTTCTTTTCCCCCCAGCAGGGCAGACCGGGTTCTTTAGCCTTGGATGGCAACTGGTCTACCACAGAAAGAAATGGCATCATACTGCCTGAAAAAATCTGCCTTGTCAGTTAAAACATCTAAAGCAAAAGGTATGGCTACATAGTACTGATAAGGTCTGCAAAAAGGAAAATACTTTCAAAACATCTTAATAAATGAGGCTGATGATTCACTCCAAAAAAAATGCCAACTTACCACTATCTTCAATGTGTTCAGTATAGAACTCATCATAGGTTTTTCCAAAGGCTGGACTACCGTGGATTTGTAAGACACATTTGTGGCGCAAAGCTCCTCCGAAAAGCTGAACTCCAGCTTGGGAGAAGATCCACAAACAGAAGAGGATGAGGATGAGTACAGAAATCAGCATACGAAGCGCACGTAAAAGGGCATTGACCATGGTTTTCAAACCTAAAAAGGAAAAAAGAAAATGAAGAGAAAAATCATTTTAAGTGATCTGTGAATTAGGACATAAAAATCGAGATTAATTTTAAAAATGTATCCTTCACATACGATGCAAAATATAAATGTTAAACTCAGTGAAAATGCTATCATGATTCTATGGTACGGGATTTTAATTTTTTTAGATACTTCATGACCATTACTAAGAATTATTTGGGCTATAGAACTCATTCTTTGGATTACAAGATGAAATGTTTGAACTGTTTTTTTTATGAATATATAGCTGAAAGGTCATAGATTCATAATGGAGATTGCTTTCTTGTGGTATTTGAGACTAATTAACACCTGCAGGAAAGCAGGTAAAAGAATCCTATATATACATTTGGTCAAAACAGTTGGGAGAGAATGGGAGAGGAAGGGGGAGAGGCCAGTAGGGAGTGGGGAGTAAAATTCATATGAACAGTAATAGAAATGCAGACACCCAGAAATAAACTTGAAATCCACATAGCTGAGATGCATTTGACATTGTAATGATCACACAATCACATGTAAATATAAGAAAAAGTGATTAACTTTTCTTTTCCTATAATTAGCACTTTTTGTTCTAGTATTGTTTTGGATTTTGAAATAGTCTCTTACTTGACATAGAGTTGTTATATTTTCAGTATATTTACCTGGCCTTCCCACCAAGGCTGGATGTGACAAATGTGGGAGTGCCATACATATACTTATGCATATGGGCCAAGGACAGAAAATGATTTTGCCCTTCCCCTGTGACCACTGTCATGCTGGCATCGGTATTACACCGATCCAACTTCTTTAGTGTGATGAGGAATGTGTTGCCACAGGATTGGAATCCACAGGGCTGACCAACTTCTCCCATCTAAAATGAGGAAAATCATGGCTCCACTTACAGTGCAGGGATGTTAACCATGTCTCAGTAAATCCTCATTTGAATGTCTCAGTAAATCCTCATAGAAGTTGTTTTCTGAAGTTTTTTTTTTTTTTAAAGATACTGCTCAATTTATTTGCAACTGATGATTTCATTTGCAGCAACATGTGTTGTCTGTGAGATTGTATTCATAATCAAGAGTACTCTATAATCATTCCCTTATTGAACAATGAAATCAGCATTTACATTAGCTTGGCTAATACACCTTTCTGCCAAATGAATTCTTTAGCAGTTTTCTCTAGTTTTCTCTTTTTACATAGACCTCATCCAAGAGAAAATAATATGAGGTATTTTCTCTCTAGATAAAATCTGCACTATCAAACTTTTATACATCCCATTGAGATATGACGTTTTCAGGTATTAATTTCAATGTGGAGTTAGTTTCCCCCTTATATTTTTTTGACATTTTTATGGGCTCTTATAAATGCCATCTTTAGATATTTATTGTATTCAACCCACTAATCATGCTTAGTGGATCACCCTTTTAGAGCTGATCTCAGTAGAAATGGTTTGGGAAACTAGCATGTCTTAATACTAAATCTACTTGAGTAGATATTTGGTGAATAAGCCAATTTAAGCTGAAGGCTTGATTGTTGGAGAATCATGTGAAAATCTCTCTAACAATAGCTTACTGATCTATGCTCTATGGCAGGTGCACTGGTTTGTCTTTCTGTAGACGTTTTCATCTCTAGACTGTTATGTAATATAAGACCTCCTATATGGCAGTGAATGCTGGACAATCTTCTCACAGACTTGAAGCAACAGAAATGTGGTTCTACAAAAGGATGCAGAGAATACCATAGCTGAATATCTTAGCAACAATAGAGATTTAGAGATAATGGAAACAAAAACGACACATATACTTTACTTCAGAGTGAGTTGAAATTTCCCAGGGAACATAATGAGGACAAAGGGCTTGGAGAATTTAATACTTACAGGATAGATTGAAGGCAAGAGGAACAGAGTAAAACAACAAATAAACTACCTAGTGATATTGATTAAATGATTAGTGAAGCTAGGTTTGGGAGAGATAACAAAAATTTTTAGATTGTTAATGCTATAATTGTACCGCGAGAAATAAATTAATGTGCAGTTAACACTCATCAGTACCCATAAATCTATCTACTGAATCACTCAGCCAATATGTTTCATTCTATTTACTCATGTTTGTTATTATGTGAGATTTTTGCAATGTAGTAGAGAGGTTCTGTAAGTGTTGTGTCGGAAACCTACCACCCCTCTTGAAGATGAACTTGTCTGCGAACAAAGACGTTAAATAGTGGTATGTCAGAAGACAGAGAGACAGAGAAGTTCTTGGCTGAGCCAGTTATAGACTACTCAGGCGATTTCTGTACCTACTTACCAACCTAATAAACCCCTTTTTTATTGTTATGTGTTATTTGGCGTTTGTCTTACTAACCCCAAATCAACATCATAACAATAAGCTTTACAATGGCTGATAAATTTGAGCCATGTATTTGGTTGGTGCATAATTATCAGACTTTTTTTAGGCGAGTTATTTGTTAATAAAAATTGCTGTTTTGTTTACTTTTTTAACAAAAATATTATTTTATTTTCAGTTTATAAAAATGTGTGTTGATAATCATGCGCTATGGAATAATCATTTAAAAATGTTATTGTTGAATTGTTATATTTCTTTTTTCATAATAAGTATTATTGAAAAAATGCCTGATAATTATGCACCAATCCAATACCTTTATCATATTTAGTGTGAAGCTCAGAAATTCTGCTAAAGAGACAATCAAAATGATTCATCATGCTTTTGGAAAATATTCTTTAGGTTAAACACAGGTTTCTGAAGACATGATGGGCATTCAGGGTAACTAATCACTTGCAAAATGCCAAAAAATATGGAAAAATAATTGTGAACTCATCCATGAATATAGTCATTAAAATTTAGTATATTTGGAATCAATTATTGAGTCTATCTGGATATCCTTATTCAGAAACTTTCTCATAACCACCTTGAATAAATTATTTTTCCAGTAATTCTTGTGATATCCTATTGCAGTTAATTTCAAAAGGCTTTTATTTTGCTGAATTATAAATATGGTTCCCTGGTTCATAATACAATGATATCTTATAATATGAACATTCAGTTTTGTTTTGTGGATTATTTGATTTTCATCTAATCACTTTTTCTTTTTTTTTTTTTCAATTTTAGTTAATGTCCAATGGGAATAAATGACAAATCTAAGGAAATTTATTAATTCCCTTGTATCTTCATGAAAAGTTACAAAATTTTTGAAGACAGCTATTAAGAAAAATAATATGACAAATTGGAAAAAAAGTTTTTGTGATGCATTTCATCCATTAGAATTTCATTGAACTGGAATGAAATGCATCACAAAAAATTTTTTTCCAATTTGTCCTATTATTTTTCTAAATACTGTTTGTTCATATATAAAATTATACAAAATTATATATTGTTATATCAAAGATAATTATGTTACTTGGTCATTTCATACAAGCTGATGCAAAGTGGATTGATTAGAATTGTGGTTTTCATCACTTCCAATGTATCAGTTATTGCTTATTGGTTATTATTAATTGGTAATACTAAAAAGAATGTGTCTTGTATGCTCATTATTCAAGTACCATACATACTTGTGTATAAGCCGACTTCACGTATAATCTGACACCTGAATCATTTGGTAAAAACCTGATATTTTCATATAGTTTGTGTGTAATGTGACTCCAGATTCTAAACAATACTTGTTGGCCTACTGTAGTCAAATATATATCCAGTGATGTGCTGAGATTTGGCGATGTTTGGCGATGCCCAGGGCCAACTCCTTGATTGTATACCCCTAAGACTCAAGTAGCAGGTGTGCTATAGGGTCTAGTACTGAGAAATGTGAGAAAGGAATACATTTAAGATATGTAAAAACAGATGAAACATGAAATAAACACTTTATTTAAATTAAATATAAACTAAATTTTTATTTCACTCTTTGAATGGATGCCCTCCTGATATGGATACCAAGGGCTGTCACTCCCTCTGCCCGCCATTATACATGCTACAGCAATCCTGGACATATATATATTATAGCAAATAAATAATCTTCTATTTTTGCATATAGCTACCCTCAAATGATGAGAAAAGCCACTTAGTATAAAATATCTGATACAAAGATTTAGATATCATACTTTTGTTTTTGGTCATGCACGATTTTTAATCTTTTCCAAAAAAAAATTACCTGTGTATCGTGAGACCCCCTAGTTTTTTTGATCATAAAAACTTGCACTATAATTGAGCATATGCAGTATTTTTTTTATACTTGCAGTCCACTCTAGACTCACTAAACAAGATATGTGTCCCTCCAAAAAAAGTTTGCTCATCCTTGTGTTAGTCTGATGAAGTCCTTTTCAAGATTGAAACGCTTTACATGAATTTTCCATTTTGTCATTCAATTATATATGATATATAGAAATTTTTATATCTTATAGTAGTTGTAGATGTAATAGTCCATGGAATTTTTGCATTGTTTATGTTGCGGTTAACAATACTAAAAATAGAGCAATCTTTTATGTATTACAGTTATTTCTTTTTCAACTGATATTTGTGTGCTGGTTATGACTATATATAAAAATCACTAAACAATCAAAGTAATTTGAACATTTAATAATATTGATATTTTTTTCAATTAATTAGATGTTATTTTCATCTCTGATCTATTCCCAGATATTCATAAAGATTTTGTATAATAAAAATGTATCCTTGAATATATTTTTAAGTATACTTACCAGGGATGATTGATAAAGTCCTCAATGCACGCAGCACCCGAAAGGTCCGCAGGCCCGTGATGTCGCTGATAACTTTGTCATTTATTGTCTGTAGGAGCAGGGTGATATATCTGTATAAGATATAAAAAAGAAAATCAAATTCCTTAGAGTGTCTAATAATAACATAATCCAGGTTTTGTGTTCTTTTAATTTTCATTTTCTTTGTCATTACTAACAATGGATATTTCAGCTGCAGTACCTTGTTTTAGAAAGTACTTATGGAAAAAATCTTGTCTAAATTTATCTACTTTGTTTATCAGGTAGTTATCTCTTTTTATGATTGTTCACTCGACACAAGGCCTAAGAGCAGCTAATGGTAGAGCATTACTGAATGAGATTTTTATAAGAGAGGAGGAAGAATTAAGAGATGCATATTATGAGGATATAGATAGATATCATTTGACGCAAGACTTGAAGAGGTTAAGACTGTAGGGGTTGGGTAGGCATCCTTTAAGGAGTCTGTTCCACAAACGGATAATTCTGGAGAAGCTGTCTGAGCAAAACTTGTTCCTTACCAAAAGAATACAAAGGGAAACAGGAATAATTAGTGTCATGTCCATGGCACAGTGGGTCCTAGCTGTGAATGTTGTCCTCAGGTCCACCTTGACACAGTCAGTTCAGTTATGTGCCATGCGTGATACATGATTAAGTGATCATGTATCTTTTGATACATGACCTACAAGGCAGATTTTTTCAGGCAGTATGATGCCATTTCTTTCTGTGGTAGACCAGTTGCCATCCAAGGCTATAGAACCCAGTCTGTCCTGCTGGGGGGAAAAGAAGAGGATTCATACCTTTTCCAACAGTATTAGCACATAAGCGAATGTAATGGATTTGACTAGAATTCAAACTTGGCTCTCTGATTCCTCAATCCGAGCTGCTATCCATTACTCCACTGTACCTCCCCTGACTCAAGGGTTTTTAAAACAGTCGGCCTATACCAAAAAAATAAATCAAATGAGAATGTCAATAAAACCAATTTCTCAACAAACTGTAGATCTGAAAAGAATACATCAATGAAACCAGACTCTCAACAAAAACCGTCTTTACAAAAATACGTCAAAGAAACCTAATCTATAAACTGATTTCTTACAAAGAATACATATTCTATTCATACAAACCTATCCTAAAAATTTTGTCAGAATTAAATAACCTATTGAGGTTGATATGCCGTAAAACAAAATAGACCAAGCCTAGCTGTGATGGTCTGAAATGGTGGAACTGAGGAATGTAGCTGGATTGAACATTTGCCATACTATAAACAATTGAATACTGAGAGACTAACAATGTTTCATGTGGAGAGCTATTGTAAGGTAAAGTGGAAAGAAAGAACTAATTATCAATTGTAAGAGGAACAATCCAAGATGCAAGCTAAGAATTGGAAATGCAAAAATCATGCAACTGCCGAAATTTAATTATCTGGGAAATGGTTTAACATACAACAGAAAACGCAACACCAAAATCTGAAGGTGGATTGGAAAGATGCTTTCCAAAAATTAAATAAGGCATCAAGAAACAGGAAAATTTTGTGAGAAACAAAGAAAAGAGGATTGAATTGCTATGCAATATCGATCATCTTATAGAGCAGTGAATGCTGGACAATCACCTCACAGATGAAGACAAGATATAAGTCAACAGAAGTGTGGTCTTGCAGAAGAATGCTCAAAATAACGAGGATGGAGCATGTGAAAAATGAGGACATTTTAAGGAAAATGGCAGTTAAAAGGATACTTATATTTACAGAAAGAGATAGCCAATATTTCTAGGACACATAATGAGAAAGAGGGCTTGAAGAATTTGACACTCACAAGACATGTTGAATGCAAGAGGATCAGAAAGAAACACTGTATAACCTACCTAATAAGCTTGGATGGCAGAACAGGGAGTGGGAGGGGATGGTAAAAAGACAAGAGCTATGAAGGATAGGAAGTTGTGAAGAGCCAAAGTTACCCATGTTCTGGAGGGACACAGTACATAAAAGATCAATTGATTATAAAAAGACAAGAGTATGATCTACAGCAGTAGAGCAAAGTTATTCTTAGCCCTCACCTTTGTCTAGAAATGTATATGGTTATATGGTTGGGAGTCACGCAAATTGTTATGGTCTGGTTCCTTGTACCATGGTGATAGTCCAAGGTAGAACCAATAAAGAATGCGAACACAGGTATGGAATAAAACAGATATATTACAAACAGGAATATATACAGAGAAGTAGAAGTGTTAGTATGAACAATCAGGTTTAGTAGAGAGAACAATGTAGTCTCGACCAGTATCTCTATTCCAATGTCTTGCAGTAACGCGACTCTGTTTCAGACTGCCTCTGACTCGACTCTTGACTCGACTTGAACTACTGACTCGACTTGAACTACTGACTATATTTAGTCACCCCACCACGTGGGCATCATGTGGCACAAGGCCAGTTTAACGTGGGCTCGGACAAAAATATGCCCATTGAACCCGTATAAACGGGTTCAGGGTCGGTTTACCTCCCCGAAATTGAATCCGCACTTCGGCGTAGCCTCCTTCGGGTTCCTCCCCGCTTGAAGGCAGAGAGTTCAACCAATCTGTCATTCAAGACTTGAGTGACTGACTGACTCCTTGCCTACTCCTGAGGTGCAGTATTTATTAAGTATGGAATAGTCCATTATTATTATTATGGGTAAGATCCCATAACACAAACGATTAATGATTAGACATGAAACTGCATTGTTTGCTTATAATTCTTACATTTTCTCAATCTCATACGAGGACAATTCAAAAAGTGCCAGGACTGGTGTTATAAAAAGAAAACTATAACACATCTCAATTCGGCATTTAATCTCCTTCAAAGTAGTCCACTTCTGAAGCCACACACTTTATCCAGTGTCATTTCCAATGATGGAATCACTCCTTTTTTGGAATAGCAAGTATCTACCTCATGAAATTTTCTTGGATTTCTTTTATGTCTTAAAATCTTGTTCCTTTTAAGTGGAATTTGATTTTTGAAGAGGAATAAGTTACAAGGAGTGAGATCTGGAGAATAGGGTTGTTGTTGGACATGGCAAATGTTGTCCTTTGCTAAAAACTGCTGCCCAAGCCATGATCCCTAATGCAATTCCTGTGATGTGGTGACACAACCACACTCTACACACTTTCTTTTCAAGCAATGCTATAAACAATGGAAGTGATTGACAATGCTACACTTGATGTATATATGCAGCAGAGTTCAATCTGTGCCAAGTGGCTACACACTGCATACTTTAGCTCGGTTACCATAGCAACGGTTTCAGTATTTTTTGATCAGATCTCCTACTTCTCTTCTAATATTGGAAGATTTTTTCACATGAGAAATAAATGCTGGTTTCTGCTTCATAACATTTAATTTAATTTAATAATGTGCTGTATATACATGTACCACGTATTTGATAGCTGATATGTTGCATTGTGCTTAGGTCAAAATAAATATTGCTTTAGACAAATATTGTCCATATTAATTGTCAATATTTATTGAAGGAAATGTTTTGATAAGTTAATTATATTTGTATTGATTGCAAAGAGATAAAGAAAATTACTCATTTGAGCTAAAGCTGAAAATGGTGTTTTTTGTGTTTTGATTAAAATGTGCTTGTATAACTGTTATGGGACCTTACCCATAATAACATAATGGACTATTCCATATGTAATAAATACTGCGCCTCAAGAGGAAGCAGGGAGTTCAGTCCGAAGTTAGGCGACCGGCTGATTGGCTGATCAGTTGAACTCTCTGCTTTTGGGCGGGGAGGAACCCGAACGAGGCTACGTCAAATTGCGGAGTCTCTTTCGGGGAGGCAAACCGACCCTGAACCCGTTTATACGGGTATAAAGGGTATATTTTTGTCCAAGCCCATGGGCTCGGAGATCCCATGTTAAACCAGCCTTGTGCCACATGATGCCCTTGTGGAGGGGTGACTAAATACTGTTCAGTCTGAAGTCTGGATTGAAGTCCATTAGGAGTCTGTCAGTCAGTCAGAGGCAGTCCGAAACAGAGTCTCATTCAGACAATTACTACTAAACCTGATTGTTCGTACTAACACTTTCTACTTCTCTGTATATATTCCTGTTTGTAATATATCTGTGTTATTTCTTATATGTGTTCGAGTTCTTCTTTATTGGTTCTCCCTTGGACTATCACCGTTGTACAAGGAACCGGACCATAACAATAACAATTGAGATAAATAATGATAAATCTTATAAATTCTCCTCAATAAACATTTCTTGGTATACTTAAAAATTTTCAAGCTATGGAGACTAAATTATCTTCATGGTAATAAATTATTTGGTGTGTGTCGTGTATGGATTAGCAGCTTGGAAAGGAAAATCAGCAATCAGAGTTTGAATTTGTTAAGTTCCTTTTTGTACAAATACCCTTAAGAAAGGTATGAAACTATATCTCCTCCCCCAGCTATGGGTTAAACAGCAGGGTTGACTAGGTTTTCCTGCCTTGACACTTGCATATGTGACATACAAAAGGCTCTTGGAGAGTGTTGAAAATAACTTTCTCATCATGCACTTTCATGTGCTACTTCAGTGCGGCTGCAGACCTGCAAATTTTGCCACAAAACTAACATAAGCATCTTGCAGGCATCTCAGAAAGCAAATCCACATAGCATTAGACAGCTGATTTTCATGCAATCTTAGATGCTTAGTAAGCCTGACATGAGATAGAACAACCTTCCCTCAGATGTTACATGCAAGTTCAAACTGAATATCTTCTGAGATCAAGTCAACATTACCTTTCTTGAGTGCCCTTTTGACCTCAAAAGGATTATAACCATCAAAAAATAGCTTTCTCCAACCAGACCTATTCTCTGCCTTTTTCACCCAGTCTTTAACATTAATTTATAGATTTTCCAGGTTGTATTTAATAAAATCCTTGAAATGTTTCTTGGATTTGCGTCTGGGGTGGTTACCAAGAGTGAGTTCTCCATTAAACAGGTGCTTAGGAAATCTCTCAGCTTCCATTCAGTTGAGCTGCCCTGCCTAGTGCAGTTAACTGCAAATGAACAGATTCTTTATTCTAGGTATTTTGGTCGATACATACATGCACATATATATAATGGACTCTTCCATCGAGTTTGATGTATGAGGTTCAGATGACAACAAACTAATAATCTGCATGCCTATAATAGGCGTGACTTTTGAGACCAGCTT